TGCGTACACCGTAGCTCAACGGTTAGGACGTTCGTCCTGACCAGAGAGATCGCGAGTTCAAAACTCGAGTGTGGCAGCAATTTCAGCGGCAACACTGGAGTTGGGTATAACTAGCCGATGACGGCAAATAAGCCAGAAAAGGCCTTCCTAGTGGTCCATGTCTTTGCTGGTAATGTCCTTCTAGCATTTTAAATATACATCTTACTTCTGAGGAACAAAAAAATAATAGACGCACATATGTGAGGTATGGGGAGACATTTTCACGTAGGTAACTTGCAATAATCAATTTAATTCTGGCCGCAAGATATGCACGTGTTATGACGAAACTGACGACTCAGTGGTTTTTTCGCTGAGTTATCATAGTACGCAATTGTAAGGGAAAGCTCTTTCATTTAGACAGTAAGCAATCCCATCTATAGGGATCGATCTCCAATCTACATCATAATAACGATCAGCTGACGCAATAATTATGGCCTACTTGCAAACCATGTGGATCGGAAGGTTGAAGGGACAAATACGAGCCCCCAACCTATTTGAGCTTTCTGTCTGTAGCCGATCCTCACGCCGCGGTATGTCATGACTCATGCAATCGTTGTTTCGGGTAAATACCGCATTCGCATTACCAGCCACTTGTAGGCGTAATTTAATCGATATAGTTCAGTATATTTAGGGTAGTAGGCAATGCCTTTGAAGACCCTATTGAAAACAATATGCATGAAATATCGGTGTTCCACCGCTGGTGAGGCTGTGCGCTCCCATTACTCACCTCTTGAGCTACACTTTCTCCGGTTGGCCGATACAGTCTGGTAATGCACCATTAACGCGCGCGGTCCCGTCTTTTTTGACTCTGTCTCGACATGGGTATCACGTAGGTGACGGAAGAGAGAGTGCGTTAGATTCTGTGCAAGTTTACTACTAATATATAATAATTCCCCGCACGTCACCCTTCCTGGAACCATCCTGCGGTAGGGTGCATGATGGACATCAACGGTTAACCTGTCGTGCGTTCGTTATCTTAGCCGTTTTGTCATAACTATGGGAGTGTGGGATACGATGTGGTCCGCCAGGTAATAGACGATGAATAACGTATTCCAACGAGTATAAGCTAGTAGATATGAAAAGGTGTGAGAGGCCAGATTGTTATGGATAATTTACTAAGAGGTAACAAGCGTAGAATGTAAGTAACATGCAAGCGACTCCCAGACAAGTGTGGTCCAGCCATGAATGGGCCGGAGTCCAGAGGCGCAGTCCGGCAAGTAGATC